TTAGTGGTAAGAGTAATCCACGGGACATCGCCAACTTGTTTCGGGAACATTTTAAGGTGCAATCTCCACTGGGTAAATCTGATGCAATACTCGGGGCTGAGAATGGTCGTGTACGGGGGGGCGCTCTGTTCAGATTCTCGGCTAAGGAGATAAAAACTATAATTAAAAGAATGAGCAGAGGTAAATCTCCCGGGCACGACGGGCTCAGTATCGAGCACATGAAATTTGCAGGTGTACACCTGCCGAGGGTTCTGTCCTTGTTCTTTAATATGTGCATCAGCCACTCATATTTGCCTGCTGATCTAATGAAAACTACCGTTGTGCCCATAGTGAAGAACAGGACAGGAGACATCTCGGATAAAGGAAATTATCGCCCAATCTCGCTCGCTACAACGGTAGCCAAGATATTGGACAGTCTGCTTGACTCATGTCTAAAAAAATACCTGAACATACATGACGCTCAGTTCGGGTTTCAGCCTGGACTCTCCACAGAAAGCGCAATACTCAGCCTCAAGCATACTGTCCAATATTACACCGACCGAAAGACACCGGTGTACGCCTGCTTTCTGGACCTGTCCAAGGCCTTCGATCTCGTATCCTATGATGTGCTATGGAAAAAGATGGAGAGCAGAAGCATACCGGTGGAAATTATAAATGTGTTTCGGTATTGGTATGGAAACCAAACCAATGTTGTAAAATGGTCTGGCAGTTTCTCCGAGCTGTACAGTATGGAGTGCGGGGTGAGACAGGGGGGGTTGACGTCTCCGAAGCTCTTTAACCTGTATGTGAATGATCTCGTGGTGGAGCTCAGCAGCGCGCGTGTCGGTTGTCGGCTGGCTGGTGTTAGTCTTAATAGTATTAGCTATGCGGACGACATGGTGTTGCTGGGCCCCACCGCGAGTTCTATCGCTGAGCTCTTAAAAATATGTGAAGCCTATGCTGTGTCACATGGGCTAGTTTATAATGTAAGCAAAAGTGAATACATGATCTTTAAGGCCGCCGGTAAATGCCCAGTAAACCCGCAGTTAACACTGAATGGGCTAAACTTAAAAAGGGTTTACCAATTTAAATACTTAGGGCATATCCTTACTGACGACCTTAAGGATGATGTAGACATAGAAAGGGAGCGTAGGGCGTTGGCGACTAGAGGTAACATGCTTGTCCGTAGATTTGCCCGTTGTTCGGACCAGGTCAAAATTACACTGTTCAAAGCTTATTGTCAAGGTCTTTACACGGCGGGTCTGTGGACGAGGTATACCCAGAAGTCGCTCAACGCCCTACGTGTCCAATATAATAATATTTTCAGGATGATGTTGTCTCTCCCTCGATTTTGCAGCGCCTCTGAAATGTTCGCGAAGACCAGAACGGACGGCTTCCACGCCATAGTTCGTAAAAAAGTGGCCTCCCTAATTAGAAGGGTGAGAGAGAGCGACGGCAGCATTCTGAAAGTAGTGGCAGATGATCCGCATGCACCGTTAAGGAGACATTGTACGCGCTTGATGTCCGAAGTAGTAGATAAGAGTTCCTCTATACATCGGGCGCAGGCAGTGCCTTTGCGGTGCATGAATAATTAATTAATTAATCATAATAATAAAATCAATCATAAAATCATAATTACTAACCTAGTTTTAATCATAATTTGTATACTAACATGTTGGATCTGAGTTGTCCCAAATAAATGAATTTGAATTGAATTGAATTGAAAAAAGACTGTTTAGTTACGACAGGATTTTATTTCAACTCCTCCCAAAATAGCTGGACCGGTTTTGATGAAATTTTATATTCGTGTGAGTTTAGAATCCCTGGATGGTTAACATTGATAATTGGACCTGGTAGATGATGACCTGAAGATAGAAAAAAAACTATAACCCCACCGGGTTATACTTTTTTTTTATTTAATTTTTATTAGGCAGGTTACAGCTGTCGGGTCTGCTAGTGTATAGTATAATAATTTCCAACATTCAACCATTTCTGCCGGATTGGATAGTGTATAATATGTAGGGGAGCCCAAGCGGGGATTTCGGGATTTACTCGAGCGCGGCAGATTAACATAAGGGAAGCAAACTTGCATGTTGTGAAGAATTCCCACCATACCTTAGCCCTTAATATAGTGTCGAACGTCCAGGGCAGCCGATCAGATGCGCGTCAAATTAAAGGAAAGTAACTTAATTAAATGCAAAAAATTGCGCATTACAATAATCTGACAATTTGAGAGTGACATAAAGGAATGGGACAGTCACAAAGTTGCAAAAAACCGTCAGCGCATTTATATTTGTTTTTATTTTGAATGAAATTAAGTCACTAATCACAGAAATAACATAATCTTCCGTTTTGTACAAGCCGAAGAAACTAAAATCAATAATAAAGTGAGGTCCATCCAGTCGCTAAAAACTATGTATATGAGGATGTCATCATTTCACCTGATACTCTAGGGGATACCCGAGCTTCATTGCAGATTTGTATTTTTTTTAAACTTCAATAATATCATGATTATTTTATGATATTATTGAAGTTTTCCAGTTTTTTGCAAATACTCCAACCTTGATGAAAATGACCATAACTATATGTATTTTTTTTTATTAATTATGGATATAACTTTACCTGTATACATATTTGACATTGTATACAGTGGTGGTCACATAATTAAAGACACTCCCTAATTGACCACAAAAACTTACTTATGGTACCTACTAAAATTGGTATTTAATCTAGTGTAATTGTAATTAAACTATACACGACGTTGTATTCTTACAATGTGGGACAAAAAATGGTTGTGTTCGTTAGTAGTTTATACACTGCTCACTATGGGAACATAACACAAACTTTTTTAACGTACTTGTAGCTAGCCAGCTATTTAAAGACAGTAATAGCTGTGTTCTGAATTTAAAAAAATAAAGAAATAACTGCATTCTGTTTTTCTTTGTTTTGCCGCGTATTTTTATGAAACGCCGATATTAAATATAAAACCTAATTTTTTTATTAAAATATAACAAGAGGGAAAAAACAAGAGTTGCGATTCGTCCACTAGGAAGATTATTTTCAATTTTCATAATAAAGATTGGTCATACAGAAAAATAGCAAACCACTTGAACTGTTCTAAGGACATGGTTATAAATGTTATAAAACATTTCAAGAAGTTCAACACGACCGAAAACTTACTAAGAAAAACTACTCTGCGGGAAAACTCTAAGATGGTGTTGTTGGCAAAAAAAAAGATCCGTTAAGGGATCAGAACTGATACGTTCGGAGTTGTTTGGTGCAGGAGGGTCGAAGGGTGTGTCTGCAAGAACGATAAGACGGAGACCATGTGAGGCAAACTTGAACGGAAGGTGCCACTTTCGAAAAAGCAAAATGTTAAGGCAACATCAGCATTTGCTATAAAATATGTACACTGGACTGAACGAGAATGGAACATGTGATTTTTTCTGATGAAACAAAAATTAATATGATTAATTCTGACAGAAAACAATATGTTAGGCGCCCCCCCGGACAAAGAAATGGATCCAAAGTATACCAAGAAAGTAGTTAAACGTGGGGACGGAAATATCAAAGTTTGGGGCTGTTTCTCAGGACTTGGTGTTGGACCTGAAAGGAAAATAGAAGGCAACATGGATAAATTTCAGTACAAGAATGTTTTAGAACAAGCCATGCTGCCCTACGCCGAGCAAAATTTACCGGTCATTTGGACTTTCCAAAAGGATAATAATCAGAAACACACTGCAAAAGTAATAATAAAAGACTTTTTAAGGAACCATTCTGTGACAGTTTTGGATTGGCCCCCGTACAGTCCTGATTTAAACCCAATAGAAAAGTGTGGTACCAGGTGAAGAAGACAGTGGCGACAAAACGGACATCAAACATCGATCAACTTTACACAGCTTTTAGAGAAGCTTGGAAGCAAATTCCGGTGGAAGCTTGTAAAAAATTGATCGCTTCCATACCCAAGAGTTGTCGTTGTGTAATTTCTGCCAAAGGACATGCGACCAAATATTAATACGTACCGGAAAGTTTTATAAATGTGTTAGAAATATTGTGTAATAAAGATAATTTCAATAATAACAATATTTTTTTCAATTTGTTCTAAGCAAATCTAGTGTCTTTAATTAGCTGGCCAGCTTTATATACGTTAAAATAGTTAGTGTTATGTTCCCATACTGATTAGTGTCTAAACTACTAACGAACACACCTATTTTTTGTCCCACATTGTAAGAATACAACGTCGTATAAGGTTTAATTTAATAACAATTAAACTGGATTAAATACCAATTTTAGTTAATGTTGGTACCATAAGTACGTTTTTTGTGGTTAATTAGGGAGTGTCTCTAATTATGTGACCACCACTGTATATTACACTCAATCATTAAAATAAAATATATGATTAGAAAAAAAAAAATCAATCCGTCAGATTAATAAAATTCCTTCACATAATTGTCAGATTAGAGAAGCGACTGTAATATAATCTGACACGCTCGAATATTTCAAGGTCACGGATTTTTTTTATTGCAATTTCACCTATCGTCGCTTCCAAACCGTCAGTCGTTTGAATGGAAGCTAATGAAGTGTTTGAGTAACATCCCTTAACAACGGCTGACGCGCTCGAATACGAATAACTTTTTTTATTCCTATTTTCTACCCCTTGGAACGTCCAGCCCCACCATTCAGACCGGCAGATTAATACTTTACCGTTATCGGGACACGTGGGGCGATTACTCTTTTAATATCTGACGCGCTCGAGTATGTCTATGTCACTATTTCTTTTTATTTTTGACCACCAGTGAAAAGGTACACATTAAATAAACCGTTTTTCTTTTTAACATCTAACCTTCACAATCCAATAGGTCCCAACGACGCTCGAATAAATCCCTATTTATCATCGTGGACTCTATAATAATTTAAACTCCTCACCGTTAATAATTTAAACTCCTCACCGTTGGTACAGAATAACAACCAGTGCTACAATAACCAAGATTTCTTTGATGAACACACCTTTTCCTTTACAGTTAGATCCTGTTCCTTACGACGTGTTTACCAATGGCAAACGTATCATAGCAGTAGATATGAAAACAAAAGAAGGCGTTAATATAATAAAAAAAATGTGCTCCTCTGCTGATGTACTTCTGGATACTTTTAGACCTGGAGTTATGGAAAAACTAGATCTGGGTCCCAATTCTTTAACTAAAATTAACTCTGGCTTAATTTATGCCAGATTGACAGGTTTTGGACAAAGTGGTCTTTACAAAGATAAAGCTGGCCATGATATAAATTATGAGGCTATGTCTGGAGTATTGTCTCTTCTTGGTAGAAATGGAGAACCACCTGTGCCACCATTGAATATTTTAGCAGATTTTGCAGGAGGGAGTATGCTATGTGCTTTTGGAATCCTTTTAGCATTATATGAGAGGACTAAATCTGGGAAAGGTCAAATTGTGGATTGTGCTATGACAGACGGCTTAACTTATCTATCATCGTGGATATTTAGATCAAGACCATTACCACTTTGGGAAGGCGAACCAGGTTCTAATCTTTTAGATGGTGGATATGCTGCGTATAGAACATACAAAACAAAAGATGGAAAATTTATGGCTGTTGGTGCTTTAGAGCCAAAATTCTATTTAAATTTTCTTAAAGGACTTCAATTATCCCCTGAAAATTATGAGCAGTTTGACATTGGTAATCATAAGAAGTTTGCTGATATTTTCTTAACAAAAACACAAGCTGAATGGTGTCAAATATTTGATGACTTAGATGCTTGTGTGACTCCTGTTTTAGAAATCAATTCTATGATGGAACATAAATATCACAAATCAAAACAAAATAAGCTAAAAAGTAATAATAATACCATCATCCCTGAGCCACAACCTAGTTTAAGTAGAACTCCAGGGGTTTCTGTTGGTCGGGAGTCACCAACTATGCCAGGACAACACACAATACACATTTTAAAAGAACTGGGATACAGTAAAGTACAAATAGAAGAGCTTTTAAAAAAAGGGATTGTTTATGCAAATAGAAAATCAAACTTGTAAATTGTAATAGTTCATGATTATCTTTATATATATAATTCTTCTGTGAGTGTGTATGTCACTGAACTTCTCTTAAACGACTGGACCGATTTTGATGAAATTTTTTGTGTGTGTTCAAGGGGATCTGAGAATGGTTTAGATTCACAATTTTGTCCGCTGGACAATGTTTTTTTAATTAATTTTTAATTTATTAGTAGTTGTTGATTTTGGAATGTTTTAAATTGGATCCGACAGACGGCGCTACCATACTAGACAGGACAACGTCTGTCGGGTCCGCTAGTTTCTTTTAAATTTAAACTAGTTTAATAATATTAATATACATTTTCATTTATTGAAATGATTATTGATCACAAATATTCATAATTATATCTCTAAGAGTAATAATTTTTATTTGCATATTTATTGGTATTACATTTGTATTGGTAAAAAGGGAGTGTTTTGAAATTAAATTAATTACTTGAAGTATATTATATAAATCAAATTTTAAGTGATTTATTCCCAAAAGGGATTTCCCCAAACCCCCTGTGCTAGGCGAGTGCTTTGTGTCCAGTTGCTTTATTCTTTTTTCACCTATATGGCAAATGAATCTAACAAACATTTTAAAATCCATACCAAAAATAGATTTTAAAATTAATTGACACTGCGCAGTGAAGTCATCAGAGTGTTTAAACTCTTGAATTTCCTGTTCCACTGAAACAAGATGGGATTCTAATGCTTGCCAAACCTTTTTAATATTACACCCATTAATCCAATTGTGATTTATTGATATTGTGTCTAAAATGTTTGTGACTTGGTGGAACCAACCAGATGGTACAAATATAGCATCACCTTTTTCTTGTATAATCTCAAAGTATTTGACATCACTACATGATTTATTATCGAATATCATGGGCAAATTACCTAATTTATCTTTAAGTTTCTCTTCTTCTCCTGGTGGGAATAATATCCATTGCTTCCTTCCTACCACATTTACAGACCAACTATATGAAGAATATACATCTGCATGAAGTGGTGTCCTGTAATAATTTAAGATATGATAATTAATATTGATAACTATTATGAAATTTGGTCTTCGTTTGGTCTAAAGAATATTTTACTGGGAAAAAACCTGCACATTCTACTATCCAAGAGGACACACTATGAAATCAATTCATTGGATGCTGGAGTTAAGTAAATGGCCTAGGTGTCCAATTGGATGGCTAATTTAACCAAATGGCTGCAATATATAGACCACTAAAATCTGGAAAAGCCTGGGCACATCAATATTTTGTTCGACAAAACAAAAACATTTAACCAATAGACAGAAACCCTAGGTGTAGTGTAGTTTGGTGAATGGACTGATGATTTAAAGTCCATAGTGCTGTAGCCAGACCTAGATAATACAGTGGATTTCGGGTATAACAACAATGAAGGGACCAACTATTTTCATTATATCCGGAAGTCGTTACAGCAAACGTTAAGAGATACATACACAAACACAAGTATAGTTTATATTCATTTATAAATGATTTCTCCCTTTTCTTTAACAGTGAATGTGCGTCTAGCAGCCATACTTATTCAAAAGTTAAACCCAGTTACTACTCAGAATATCACTTTGTCACTGAAGCATAAATTTATCTCCGAAACTTACATGGTTCCCTCCTACTTAGCAGATATCTATAAACAAAAGGTAAAGGTATCCACACTTGCTAGCCATCTGGGTGGATGTAAGATGTAAAAAGTTAAGAAATGTTGTGAAAAAATATTCTTTGTGTCTTTAGGGGCCTGACTCCAGTCGCAATATCTGCATGGGATTTCTAGGAATTTGTTACAAATGATTCATTAAAAACAGTCACTACACCCGAACTCAGCGTTACAATCAAAGTCGCTATAGCCACATGAATTTTGTACTAAAGTATGCTTTAAAGTCAAGGGACATAGATTTAACAACGCTATAGATAAATGGTCACTACAACCAAGGTCATTATAAGTGAAATCCACTGTACTTAGTTAAAATGAGGAATACTGCCATAATACTTGCCACTGTACTTGTGGGTGGATTTACATTTATGAATAAACTGTTGAAATTTCCAACTCATAGGCGATCTCATTAACGTTCCTGCAGCATAAGCACTACAATATGATGTTTTTTATTGTGTCCGACTGTCAAACTCCACAGTAATTTGACAAATGAGCATGCTATAAACAAGCTATATATACATACTATAGTATAGTGACATAATCATGCTAGGGGGGCTATACATCTAACATTTGAGATTTGCTAAACACTTAAGTAAGTTATGACAATAAAGATTATAAAATGTAACTAAGGAATTTATATGATCAGTGTGCCAAGGGTAGTGATTGTTATCCCTTAGCACACATATAAACACTCAACTTTTATATAGTCATACTACAGTTTGCTTTTGACCAAACTAATGAAACATTAAGCTACAGTTTGCTGATTAAATTGTATTTAAAATAAAATCTTCATTTACTCTCAGCAACTATACTCTCATACTTCTGCATCTAGACATAAAACTCTTCACACAAAAGCTTCAAAAACTACATAATGTTCTAACCATGAGTTTTTGGGTCCTATGTAAACAAACATAAAATCATCTTCTTGAAGATCTTGACAAAATTCATTAAGCCAATCAGATGCAAACAGCATTGGAGTTTCATAAAAATTATCATTTGGTTGTAATCTTTTTAAATGCCAGTCTTTTAAGTAAAGAAGTTGTTCATTGTTCTGTTTCAAATATTCCATATAATTTGAAACTTTCATAATAGTTTTACAATGAGCATTATAAGCTACATTATTACAATCAGCTATTGGGGCTTCAAGATCTCCATAGGCATTGGTCAAATAGTCATAATGAATGGTATCGTCTTTTACCCATTTCCTTGTACATTCCCAGTTATCACTAATACCTTGAATTAAACATGGTAAGTTTTTTCTCATAAAATTTTCAAAGAAATCACTGTACTGAATAGAAAATGTAACACTTTTTATTGTAAATTTTTCGTAATCAAATTCATTTGTCGAATTTGGTAAACTACTAAGACGTATATCTAGTTCAGTCATTTTCAAATTTTCATGCTCGTGGTAACTTCCTCTTTATATGCGAATTCACAGAACATTATCACAGTAGTGTGAATTTATTATTTGGCAGATAAGCTGAGAACATTAATTAAATAGAAAAAAGTAGGAAACATGCTAAAAATTATTTGTATTCGCTTTTTGTCATTTTGACAGCAGATCAGGTTGTCATAGAGAAAAAAAGGAGAGAATCTGTTTTTTTTATTTTTTTGTTGAAGATCTCCCGTTTTACGGAAGGCAAAGAAAACAATGCTCATACAGCCTGGTCTTTAATTAAATTAATCTTCTCTTTGTTTTTACATTAGAATGTCGGTGTGACGCATTCTAATGTTTCTTGGAATGTTTGGCACGAAATGTATCGAGTTGGCTTTTTCGATAAGCTTCTGTGTGGTAGTCAACACTACAATAAAATTCTCACGTCCACTTGACCGGAATAGCGTATATTTTAATGATTCCACTAATTCTTCAGTTACGCAGACAGTTGTTACACAAAACTACACCAATTTTTTTTCACGATATCCACTATGAACGAATTTAAGAATAATTAAAATAAGACGCCAACCGCACTCAATGAAATTCCGCCAAAAACTCCGGTTTTTTTTTATATAGGTAGCTTTCCAATTACAGCATTATAGCACATTATACGGCATAATGCTTAACGTTGAGTGTTCCAACTACAGCAACGATTCGCAGAATTGAGCACTCTCAAAAGTAATGCTTTCGTGTGATGCGTGCAATCGTACCAACTCAAAGACAGAAAATTAACAAGTGTTTTTTCTTTAAGTTGGCATTGATCGAAATGTTTTATTTATATGTTATCGTTAGTAATATTATTTATTGTTGAAAAATTATTAAAAGTGTCGTTTCATTACAGTTTTCTTTTAAATAATCAAAGTTAATTCTAACTGTGTTAAAAAATTAAATATAAATATGGATGAAGGTACAAACATTGACTTTTTTTTTCAACACTGAACTTAGCGCACTCTGCTGGTGCATTTGAAAACTAATTCACGTTCCAATTAAGCATCAGCATAATTCGGCATTGTGCGCCACTGAGTCGCATTATGCTCTGTAATTGGAAAACCACCATAGGTTGCTTTCCAATTACAGCATTATAGCGCATTATGCGGCATAATGCTTAACGTTGAGTGTTCCAACTACAGCAACGCTTCGCACAATTGAGCACTCTCAAAAGTGATGCTTTCGTGTGATGCGTGCAATCGTACCAACTTAGAGACAGAAAATTAACAAGTGTTTTTTTCTTTAGTGTTGAAAAGTGTTTCTGGCATTGATCGAAATGTTTTATTTATATGTTGTCGTTAGTAATATTATTTATTGTTGAAAAATTATTAAAGCTTTCGTTTCATTAAATAGTTTTTTTTTTAAATAATCAAAATTCATTCAAACTGTTAAAAAATAAATATAAGTATGGATGAAGGTACAAACATTAACTTTTTTTTTTCAATACTGAACTTAGCGCACTCTGCTGGTGCATTTGAAAACTAATTCACGTTCCAATTAAGCATCAGCATAATTGGGCATTGTGCGGCACTGAGTCGCATTATGCTCTGTAATTGGAAAGCATACATAATTTATTCATGACTATGGATACAAGTCCTTCAGTCGTATACATAAATACAAATCTTAATCTTCTTTTTTTACATTAGAATGTCGGTGTGACGCATTCTATTGTTTCTCGGAGTGTTTGGCACGAAATGTATCGAGTTGGCTTTTTCGATATGCTTCTGTGAGGTAGTCAACACTACAATAAAGTTCTCACGTCCACTTGACCGGAATAGAGTATATTTTAAGATTCCACTAATTTTTCAGTTGCGCAGATGGTTGTAACACAAAACCACACCAATTTTATTACACAATATCCACTATGAACAAATTTAAGAATAATTAAAATAAGACGCCAACCACACTCGATGAAATCCCGCCAAAAACTCCGGAGAGAATGGGCCCAATTCTGGCGTGCCATTGCTCGGTCAAGGCCCGTCTTTGTAAATTATAGGTACGGGAGCGGCTCAGTGACCATGCTACGGCTGACTCCTCAATAGACTTGTTAGGTACTAAAATCTAGTTGGTACCTATATTTGCATTTCATTTTATAAACGGTGGCTTTCCCCAACCTATTGCCAAAAAAATTACTTAGGCATGCTCTAAGAAAAAATATGATTCCTAAAGTTCTTCCCGCAGATTTAATTTCTCCAAGTTCATATTTTTCCCCAAAATAAGGATTAACATTCCCAACCTAGAAACCCTCAGTACCACAGAGTGGGCAAGTATTCACTCTTTATTGATTCATAATTTCTCATACAGTGAAATAACAAACTTATGTTAAGTTTCCACATTTCGAAGATGATGAAGAACAACAAAGAATTACTGAAATAAGTCAAAATCACTGAATAATAAGTATTTATTGCTAATTTGAGTAAACCGATAATTACCGGTTCAATGCTTTTACATAATCTGTGAATTCAATTTAGATGCTCGTTTACAGTTGTCAACTGTGTTCTTTTTTAGTTAGTTCACAATTTCAGAATACCAATTCTCTAAACCTAAACTAAAATTAGCTCTCTAATTTTAAGTTTAGGTTTAGAAAATATAACGCTAGAATCGGTCCCAATACCAATTCTCTAAACCTAAAATAAAATTAGCTCCCTAATTTTAAGTGTAGGTTTAAAGAATGTAACGCCAGAATCGGTCCCAATTGTGTCAATTTTGGCATGATTCTCTAAACCTAAACTTAAATATCACAGCGGTGTACTGTGTATCCTTGTCATTTTCTTTACAGAATGTAAAAGAGAGACTGATGTTAAATTAGGTTTCGACGTGACAACGTCTTATATAACGAAAAAACATGACTCATGCGGCGTTACCGCGCTCTGAGGCGTTCCATTTAAGGCTTGAAGTGCAAGCGAGAACGCGCAACGAGTGACAAAGAGGCACAATCAGCCTCCGCGTTCGGCAGCGTTCGACATCTGTCTCTCTCCTATTTGAGTGAGCGATGCGTCCGCGTGGACAGGTGCTATACAATAACACATTTACATGTTTTCGTCAAGTATGAAGTGCAGTGAAAAGTGACTGTGGTGTCAATTGTTTATAACAACGATACAGTTTGTCTATAAAGTCGTGACATTAAATGATGGCGCCACTAGTATGCATGTAGCAATCAGTCTGACCAAAATGATTTTGATACTAGCAGTTCATTCAAGTAAAATAGGTAATAAATAAGACACACTATACAGTCGTATTTTGTTTCTGTTTTATATATAGTAGGTACCTATGTGTACGGTACAAGCGTACATCTTGCGAAGTCATCACTTTTCATAATTGTGTTAATAATTACAAAAAAAATTGCAACAGTTCACGTTTCCTTACCGATTGCGGCGGGCGCGCACTCATCTATCAATCATTTACGAGTATCATAGCATAGTATCAGTTTTTATATAGTAATAAATAGTTTAAATTCTTATACCATCTTTTACTTATCATATCAACTCTAGGTGTATCGTACATCTAAATGGTCCTTCGAATATATGAACAAGTGAGATCATTTACGCGTAGACTAAAAGTGTGACAATTTACCTTGTAAACTTGTGTTCGTGTAAGTGGTTTTGCACAGCAAATTAGAATACAATGATTTCAAGAAGGAACTCGCCTGTAATCTATATACAGGCCCAGGAGCTACATCATACAGCACACCACCAGGTTTACTACGAGTTACATACAGCCAGCTCCCAAGTAAGATCTTTCCTTTTTTACATTAATTATCAACTTTATCAAGCAAAATGGAAGATCTTCTAGCGACTCAAACTCAAATAGTGGGAGCAATCAACCAGCTCCTCACCAATTTTAAGAAGGATGGAGCGGAAAGAAAGACGGTGTCGAACATCAAAAAGAAGCTTGATACTCTCGATGCTTACTGGCAAGAGTATCAAATGAACCATATCAAGCTCTGCGAAAACGAAGATCGGTCTCATGCTTATTTTACAGAAAACTATTATCAAAAAACATTAGATTTTTACAAAGATACGCGTACTTATATCAATAATTATCTTTCGACGGAAGCCAAGAAGGACGAGAGACCTTTGATACGTCCAGCCACGCCATTAATGACAGCAAGAGTGTTGGAGCAGCCTACATGACAACAATCACCACGTCCAGATAATCAAATGGGAAAGACTATCCCTACACCAAAATTCGAATTTCCTTCCACGTCAGTAACAGGTAAACCACATCCTCAATTTACTTCCGGTGGTAATCAAAGCAGATTAACAGATGTTGAGAAAACAATATAGCAATTTTAAAGCTTTCGTGCGTACCATCACCAACATAAACTTTTCGTCATTACAAGAAAAATGGGAGCTAGACGATGTTTTAAAATCTGTAAATCAAAGATGGACCGCTATCGATGACCTCCACTGGGAAATCGATAGTGAGCTCTATGAAGAAAACCAAGATATGAACAGGAGTATAGTAGCTACGAGCAGCAATATCAGAATATTAAGAAAGAAATAAATCAAAAAATTTGGTCTACATGTCACCGTGAGAGATCAACCCCCCAAATGGACATACCAATCTTCACGGGCAATTATCATCAGTGGGTATCATTCAAAGACTTGTTTTGTGAAGCCATCCATAACAACAGATTACTTTCAAACGCACAAAAAATGCAATATCTAAAAGGGAAAGTTAGAGGTGAAGCCGAGAAAATCATACAACATCTTCATATCAGTTCAGAAAATTATCAGGTCTGCTGGGATATTCTAACCCACCGTTATGAGAACAAAAAGTTAATTTTTGGAGCACATATCAACCTACTATTAAATCTACCTGTCTTTCAGCAGCAATCGGCAGTTAACATCAAAAAAATACACGACACTATCAATGAAAGCCTAAACTCCATAAAAAATTTAGGTATAGAGATAAGTTCATGGGATGCTTTGATAGTGCATATCATGACGCAGAAATTGGAT